AAAATTGTTTGCAGGCGCTTTATAAGCATTTCAGTGCAATAACCGAATAGTTATGACACAAAGGACGCATTTGGATGATTTTTTACGTGGTAGAATTATCGACCGTCTGGAATGTGGGCGTACCCAACTGGAACTATCATACGAACTTGGAATTGTCCAGAGTGTCATCTCCTGGCTTTGGCAACGATTCATAGATGATGGTAATGTGAGTAGACATTACAGCACAGTTCGCCCCAGAGCTGCAACGCCGAATGAGGACCGGTATTTGGCAGTTACTGCCGCAGAAACAGGCGGAGCACAGCCTCAGACCTGTCTCGTCAGCTCTCTTCAGCCACTGGTACGACAATTTCAAGGCAGACCATGTACAGACGCTTAGTGTAGATTGGTCTATATGCTCGTAGACCTGTCAGATGCGTTCCACTTACTGCAACTTACTGTTGCCTGCGGTTAGCCTGGAGTAGAGAGCATGCGTTGTGGACACCGCAACAGTGGGCTTGCGTGATGTTTTCCAACGAGTCCAGGTTTAGCTTGCAGTCTGATTCTCGCCGGACTTTCATATGGAGAGCTCCAGGTACCTGTTACCACCAAGTAAACATCATTGAACGACAACGTTACGGTGGTGCAGGAGTGCTCGTTTGGGGTGGAATTATTCTGGGTTAAAGAATTGACCTGCACATTCAAATTGGAACCATGACAAGCCAAATCTATCAAAACGTCATTCTGGAACAACATGTACATTTGTTTCGGGGCACCATGGGCGTACAATTTGTGTTTATGGATGACAACGCCCGTCCTCACTGTGCAAGCATCGTAAGTGAATGCCTTCAATCGAAGGATATCACCCGTATGGACTGGCCAGCATTCTCACCGGACTTGAATCCAGTAGAGCACGCGTGGGACATGCTTGGCCGACGAGTTGCAGCCCGTCAACCTCCTCCTACATGTCTACCGGAACTTCGGAGAGCATTGCGTTTTGAATGGTGTAATATCCCCCAAGATCAGATCGATAATTTGATACTCAGCATGCCTAGGCGTTGTACGGACTGTATTGCATCGTCTGGGAGACATACCTGTATTAATCATACCAACCATGTAATATTGGTTTTTTGTAAATAGGTTTTTTTTTTTTTTTTTTTTTTTTGTAATTTGCTCCAGGGAGAAAAAATCGCTAATTTTTTTAATAATATCAAACATATAGCATCTTTTTTTGCTCTTTACCTTTTGTTTAATAAATAAGCTTTACAAATAAGTCAAATTTGTTTTGCTTCTAACTCTTCCTTTGCCTGATTTTGCATTATCTTTAATTTATGGACATGAGTGTATTTTATGGGGAGTTCTGAGAGATTATTAACATTTTGGGATTTTTTTAAAACTTTGTTTCAGTGTTTTGCGCTTACTATTTAATGATGTGTGGCAGCAAATGATTAATAGGGTGACATAACTGACATAGACGGAGTTATGTCCAGATGTTTACAGACAGAGACTTTTAGAGCTTTGGCAGGAAATTTTTTTTTATCTATTGTACTGTGTGTAGGCAAAGCCAGACTTGGAAATTAGCAGTGAAGACATGGAGAAGTTACTAGAGGATCATAAAAATGATCTCAAGAAGAAATAACTGGAACAGTTTCAAGAGCAACAACAAAATGTGATTGTGCAGGGCATATCTTCAGAAAAAGAAGCAGGGGAAGATATTGTAGTTCTTTTATATGTGAAATTCATACAAAATATTATAAGGCTCAATGTTTTCGTGTAATAATATCACTCTTATAAAGCAGTAACAGGCAGCAGTATGAGCATTTTCACTGACAATGTATGTCTCACTTTAGAAATATTTTAAAATGTAGACAGCAACAAGTCATGCTGCACAAATTTAAGTGAGTTCCAAGTAGTGCTAAGAGACAAGGAAAGATAGAAAATGCTGTAGAAAGACGTGTTGCTAAAATGAAAATGGATTTGTCATTGAAAATGTAAACTTGTCCATTTCTGTTCCTCATTAATTTCCACTAATGTCGTTCATCCGACTTTGTACCGAACCATAAAATCAAATTTTAATCTTATTTTATCTTTTTAATATTATATTTATCTTTCTTTTATCTTAGATTTGATAATATCCATCAGAGCAGCAGTGGCGTAGCTAGGGTGGGGCAAGGGGGGACATCTGTCCCCGGGCGCAGCATCCAAGGGGCGCCAAATTGATGCTACGAAATTTTCTAATGAAGTGTTTTCCATTCTTTGCGCACAGAAAGGGGCTCAAATTCTTTAATTGACCCCGGGCGCTGGAAATCCTAGCTACGCCCCTGCAGAGCAGTTATATCTGATTTGGAAATGGATTAATGCATTTTACATTAATTTCTGTAGGAAAAAAAGCGTTGATTTACAAACATTTTGAAAGATGATCAGCCTTTAGAAATAAATAATGCTGTGAATTGTGATTTTACTGTAACTGTTATTTGAAGTACTTTAGTTAATAAAATGTTTACAGACTGAGTAACATTTTTGAAATAAATACAGTGCAAAGTCCGTAACCGTACTCCTCGGGACTTCAGCTATTCCGGATTAGGGGTTTTTCCAGATTATAGATCATCAATTTAAATCTGGTAAGATGGCATGCAGAAATTATACAATTAAAAATATGAAACCGTAATTTATGAAATAAAGAGCAATTATGATGTAAAGGGTATCAAAATTTACAAAAAAAAAAAAGCTTAATATTTATTTGTTTACTTTATTAAACATTTCTTTCAATGTAAGATGTTTAAGTTGCTTCATTTTTTGTGCTAATACTTTCTCTTTAATTCTCTCTTTTCTTTACGTGCATGCTTAGCGAACACGCACATTAAACGCGCATGATTAAGTTTGTGGCTTTGAGGTCCGGATTATGGATTTTGTACTGTATTAAAATAGTGCAATTATCAGAATTCACCAGTGCTACTTAAAAGATCATTATAATGCAAGCTGATGTAGACTTAGTCTTTTTAGTGGTGAATTAAATTATCAGTTCTGAAACTTTTAGCATGTTCATCTTTTAGTTTCTTTCTTGAGTAGTAAATTCTGTTCTCAGTGCTACTATACATCCCTTTTCAGTGCTGCAAACCATTAAAATATTCTAAAAAATATCTAATATGTCTAAAAAATCATAATGCCATCAGAAAGCCCGGTATTGGGTAACACTTAAAAAATATTATAATTTTTTTTTTTTTAGTTTAAAAGACATTAATTGCAGTCATGTTCTATGAGAGTAATTAAAAAAATTTAGATATAGAAGAAAAAATAGTAGTATTTGTATTGCATGTAATAAATGCAGAAATGATTATTTATTAAATTTGGTGTGAGTGTCTCCTTTTTAGGTGCTAAGGAGGTTAATGTCTTTTATTCTAAATAAACGTATGAACATTATAGAATTTAAAAGTTGTGGGAAAATAGGGAAAATAATCTGATTTGTGTGTATTAAAAATTACTAAACTGTGAACAATGTGCACAACAGACCTGAAAATTTGCATTAAAGGTAGAACATGCTGGGATATCCAAATGATTAACATTTTTTAGATTGACGCACATTGCAGAGAGTAGTGATGATGCTTCGATGCATTATAAAGGCAAAATGCCTGTTTTTCATCTGGAAATCACATTTTATTTATTTATTGTGTATGTGTTGGAAGTTATGTATGCCGTATGCAAGAAGAAGGAGCTTATATCGGCACATTTGAGATTATGCATACAGTGGAATCGTGGCCCACTGTGACTATAAATTATTGCATCTCACAACTGCTGCATGCTTTGGGCAAGATATAATGACTGTTTAGAATTATTGGGTTCAGGAAGCCTACCTTATAGCATCTTGATGGCTGTATCCTTGTATACAAGTACTGAGAACAAATGGAATATGGAATATAGAATTCTTCACTGACATATCTGCTTAGCATCTAGGTTAATGATGTGGGTTGCCACTAGATACACATCTCATTCACCTCTAGTTCATACAAGAAGCTTATTTTGACCAGCCTATTGCCGTATTACTAAGGTTTTAATACCTGTGACTGTATATCTTACAAGCCTTTGCTGTCTCACATTTCATTAGGATAGAATGAGACTATATATTGCCTCTGCTGTCCATCTTTCTTCGATATCAATTTGTTCTGCTTTGACCAGCACGTGCTTCTCATTTCCTACCAATTTAAAACATCGGGCTTATAGTTACAGAGAGACTTTCATAACAACACCTGCCAGCCAGTACGTCAGATGAATTAAAAGTGCATGGACTACCATTTCAGTAACATCCATCCAGAGTCTGTGATGCTAAATTGTAATGCCTAACTTTATAACAGCTGCTCACGATGTCAGAGGCAGAATCTCAGGATACTCATTTCTACATGTTCTACCTCTCACAATTAACTGAAATTTTAATCATTTCATGCTTCCATAATAATATGTTTTAAAATAAACATTAATCTAATGCTTTCCTTCATGTAGTAACAATTTTAATAGCTGGCAGTGTATTGGGGATGTATAGTTTATTTCATTATCTGTTTAATTTTCAATGTTAGAAGTCAAGATAACTCTTATAAGCTTTGTCATAATTTGTTAACTCGGTAACAGGGAATTAAACTCGTGTTGGAAATTCCAGTGATTGGTGATTTTACATTTCAGCCATTAGAAGAGATCGTGGGCATATAGGTTCATTATTATGGATTTTAATTAACTTAATTTTTTTTTAAGTTGTTTCTGAAAATGTAGTTTTAAAATTAATTTGCATTATCAAAAACAGTGCTTCCCTGATCCAAAAAGTATGTTTATGCTGAAATTTAAATACATGTTGTTTGCATTTATGTTGTGCGGCATATGTAGCAGTTTTAATTTTCCAGTGTCTTTTTCTGATATAATTGGAAACAAGTATTTAAAAACATATTTTTTTTTTGTTGGAACTGAAATTGATTAAAAAATATTTACCAATCTTAAAGTTAATTTCTAGTTAAACATTGATTTTATGTTGTTATTTTCAGATAAGTCCAGGGATATGACATATCCTATGGCATATCCTAATCCTGGTACAGATGGATTATCACAGGTATGTTATTTTTATTTTAAATCTTGCAAACTCAATAAATGCACGTGTATATGCAAAAATAAGTACTTGTAATTCAAATATATATAAAACCCATATTATTTTACTGTGATTTACAGTATTCTGTAATGATCAAGAATTTATAATCTGATGGGATTTTTTTTATTTTTTTATTTTATAGGAGTGTATAAATCCCTTTCCTGGTGTAGAACTTCTTCCTGTCGGTGATGCATATTTTCAGTATTCTGGCACAGTTCAGCAAAGGCTTTTACCCAGTGAAGCAGTCAGAGGTATTGTATTGGAACTTTTACTTTTTATTATATAAGAGCAACAGTTACAGTGGATGCTTATTGATGTTACGTTATTGTTTAAAGTAGACTAAAGTGCTTCGGAACAAATCAGAAAGGATGTTCTTTAAAAATTTCCAAATGCTGGAATAACATTTTGGGCAGTTTGTATAGTTAAATTATTGACATTGATAACTGGGTTCATACAGTATTTAAAAAATCATTAGGTCTTTTGGTAACAATTTTTGGTCCTTAAAAGTCCTTAATTTTACTCATTTGACATTTCTGCCTGTATTTTACGACTGCCATTTTGAGTGTGAATTAACAATTCATTGACAAGTATGTATTTGATAAGTTATCTGAATTCTTTCCTACTGCTTAATAGAGCACTGGGCCCCTGCCTTGATTGAAACATTGACATTTCGATTTTTTTTTTTTTTTTTTTGAGAATGAAGAGTTCATAAAATATTACTTCAGAAGCATACTTTCCTTTTCTGAGATATGATTTCTTTTTTTTTTCTCTTATTAGACCATACTAAATATAGCGATTTGTTGACATTTTGGTGATTGCAAGATCAGTTTGTATTCAAAATTTTTATCCAAATGTTTGCAAATTTTTCAATGTTCTTCTTTGCAAATGTAATAAAATTGATTAATATCATAATGATAATATATTAAAACCATAATTAAGAAATGGCATTAAAATTAAACATTTAAATTTTCCCATGTCATATTTTGAAATGGCATTACTTTCCAATTTGGAGATATAAGAATGATTTGATTCTGAAAAAAAAAAAAAAAAAAAAAAAAAAAAAAAATTAGGTAATAAACGCTGTGAAACACAGTTTCCGAAGCACTTCTTAACAACAGCATTAACAAATATATCTGCATATATTAAATTTTTAATTCTAAAATGTAGAGGAACCTTACTGAGAAAGAAATTGGTTACATAAAGAGAAAGAAAATTATTCTTCAAAGGAGTATTGTGAAAACATTAACAAATTAGAGGATGAAGTAGTGGGCTTGTTTTATTGCAACAAAAAAATTGATTTAAATTAGCTAAAATGTCTTGACAAATTTTAATATTATTAAGATGCATAAATATTTTGGTTTGTGTTGTTGTTATGTAATGTGAATGTTTTGTAGCTTTTTATATGTAATTATTGTAATATTGTTTTAGAATCAATATCATAATTTACATGCTTATTTTATCTGTATTTTAAACAATAAAATATTCTTAGATTATGATTGAATAGTGCTTTTTTGTGTTATATGAGGTACCACTTTTCCTTAATCCGTACTGTGAACATAAAAAAAGATAAAAATTAGCATAACACTTTATTCCCTGCAGCCAATGATGTTTTAAATACTATAAAACAACCTAGCACCTCTGGTGCTTCAGCAGTTTATTGGAATTTTATTTTAAATATTGTGTATTAACTAACTGGATTATGATTCTAGCAACTCTGTGCTAGAATCATAATGTGCGATGCTAACTGATTCAGACAGACAAAGTGCAGCTAACGTTCAACACATACCAATCTTGCTGGTGTTGGGCATTGATGTCTGTTCTGATCAGCATCTGTCTCTCTCTCTTAGCAAGCTTCAGTGGTGGCAGCAGCCAAGCTTTTAATACGAATTATGCTGGTTATGATTTTACTTCTCATTTTAACTTATGCCACTTGACATAAAATTTGCATAACCTCTGGACTGAGTGAGAACATGACAGAACAAGGCATAAAGGAAAGAATCAACATAAAACTAATTGTTAGTAAAACTTGCATGTCACTAAGCATCTTCAAAATATGTGGGACAATTATAAGTGTAAATTTTGGAGGAATTTAATAATTTAATGTTAATTACATGATAAGTTTTATAAAATGGATTTTATTCTGGGAATTACTTTCATAGTTAAGTATTAGAATATGTTTAAGAATAAAGTATCCTATTTACAAATGTATTTTATTCTTAGAATGGTATTACAAAAGCAAAGTTTGGGTATGGATAATTGCATAGTTAAATCAATTCACTTTGCTAATTCGTCTGTAATTTTTTTCACTAAAGATCTTTAAAAGTACCTAAATTTCAATGTGCAGGAATGTGTAGAAACTCTAGATAAATATATAATTATGGCTTCTCAGCACTGTTTAAATCCAATATTTTTCATTAAATGCTAGTAATAGAAAGTATTGTTTTGAGAAAAGAGCAAAACCACGCTGTTAATTTTAATATAAGGAGTACTAGAAGTGGTTATAAAACCTTGTATATTTGTTCATTCCTGTTTTAGGCTTAAGACATCTATTCTTATATTTTTATATTTTGCAGGTCCACCTGCAAAAAGAAAACGAGAAGTAAGTAGGCTTTTTAAAATTATATGGATTGCTTAATTATGGAACTTGTCTTTATCAAATTTAAAATTCAGTGTGCATTCATCTAAAAATTTTGTGAGATAAATTATATTTTAATGAAATTTTCAGCAAGTCTTATTTATCAATGTACTTTTTACAGGGTCCCGAGCCTAAAGAATTAGATGGGCATTGGATTCCTGTAAGTATTCAAAGGTTTTTACTCATTTTGTTGACTTAGTAGTAATAAATGCCGATTGTATCTGAGATTTGATTCTTGGCAAACAGGCCAGCTGCACGTGTTTTCGTGGTTTTTCCATATATAATGTGAACAAAGGCATTCCTCTCAGGTAGATAGCCATCGACCATAAAGTTGGAACAGATTAAGCCAGTCTTTCTAGTAAAAGTTTAAAGGAAAAAAGATTGTTCTTTATTTAATTAGAATCATAAGATTCAAGTTACAGATATGATGTATAAAAAAATTAAATTTCATATTATAATTTTTCATGTTGTATCGCTTTTGTTTATCCATTTTAAAATAAAGCTCAATATCATGGCCATTAAAACGCATTTTTCTTGATTCCAAAATCCCATAAGTTTGAAAACACTCCATGTTGTTCCACAAAAAGAAGATCCCTAATTGTAACTATTTATTCAAACTATAAGGGAAAACAGGTAAATAACAGTTAACTTTTTAAAAGAAATTAAACCAACTCATCAAGAATTAATTCAATTTATATAACATTGAGGTGAAGATCTTATGATTGAGTTATAACATTACACTTATATGTTATTGACGCTAAATCACATTATTTAGTGACAGTTTTTGTTTGTCTAAAGTAGTTGATGGAAAAATGTTTGTGCAAAATACATTTAATAGAACTGAAGCAGCTTGTTACTTTAGCAACCACCCCTTTAAACATATTGGTGACAGTTGTGAATGTGATAGATGAACTAAATGCCTGTTGTGAATTTTGGAATCTGTCATAATGTTTCTGTGCTGTTTCATGTTCTGTAATAGAGAACTTCTAATTTGAACTCTCATTAGAAGTTCTTTTGTTGTAACTCCCCACTTTTCTTTCTTTGTGGGGGGGGAGCTTTTATGATGCGGCCTGCCCCTCCTAGCAAAAAATTGCCTCGTTGCTAAATCGATGGGCCAAATCAGCTCAAAACCACAAACAAGGTCATCCAGCAATCCGGCCATGTATTAGAAGATGCATCTCCCAAAACAAAACTTTTCCATTTAAATTAGCTCCCGAAAAACCGAGCCTTGTGCTGAGTAACTAAAATATTAGTAAAAAGCAACCAAAAAACAAATTAATATAAAAAACTCAGTGGTATCCCCGTATATTTACCATTGATCTTAAAACATCTAAAGGATTGCAGCAGGGAAAAATATGTAAATGAATAAAATAGCTTTTAATAAACAAAATTAAAATAAGGAAAACACTTGCATACATACCTTATGATTGCAACATACATACAACAAACATATCTCAGGTTACACGAAAATAAACAAATCATGCAATACTCTCTCCATATTATCATTATATAATGCCAATCTGGGCTCTCTTTGAATTTATCAATGTAACATTTTGCTATCACATTAGTTTTCTTGTTATAAATGTTCATATTACAAAATTCACATGTAGCCCCTGAAACAATTCTAGTCAGTAAACATTCTTTGACAAAATGTTGCGAATCACCAATTTTATTACATATATGATAATTTTCATTTTCTCGGAACAGGAAACGGCTCAGATATTGAGGAAAACCACTATGTCCTGTAATAATTTGGTTGAGATCTATTTCATATTTGACAAAATATTTAGCAAATTCAAGTATCGTCTTTTTCTGTCCGAGCTATTCCAAGCCAATCTCCATTTTTCTTGAAAATAATTTTTCTTGATTGTTATAGTCTTTTTCTTAGAGCTCTGTACATCTGTATATTCACCTATATCATTCATAACAACTTCCTTTGCTAAGGCCTCTCATTTCCTATGCGACCAATGTGTGCCCTAACCCAGTTTAATTGAATATGATGCGTCTCTCATAAGTGAGTATATAAATCTGTATTTCTAAATTTTTATGGTCGGAGTTGGAAAGACATTGCAAAACAGATAAAGTCTGTATATTACAGTGCAGAGTCCGAGATCCGGACATTGAATATTCGGAATGATCTAAAATCTGAACCTCGAAGCCATCAACAATTTTTTTTTTCTTTTAGGAAAAATTTTTTGGTATGCTTTACGCATGCGAATTTCATTTGCCCCCATAATAAAGCATGCAAAAAGTCCCAATTCTTAATTTCACTTCGGCATTAAATAAAATATGTCGTTACTGAAGAAACAATCATTTTGGCATAAATTTGTGTGACCTATAATTTGACTCCGTAGCTGCGTATCTGCTTGGCATGTATCTCAAACCAAAAGATTCTACATAGAAACATTGATGATTTTATACTAACTAATATTTTATATCTCTGACGGCAATATAGCGAATAATTTATTATATTTTGCTTTCATCACTGCATGCTTATTGGCACATGACAACTTGAGTAATGACTAATGCAGCGATGCCTAAACAATTTGTTTTATATTAGAATAACAAAGAATTTGGTAACCATTTATGCTGACATAATGCTTGGCGATGATTACAAATTTAAGTTAAATGCTCTAACAAATGTAGTTGAAGAAAAATTTTAACAAAAATTTCTTGCCATATGTTAAAAATAGATTTTGTTAATGATACTCATAGGCTAAAAGATTATAATTAATGCTATTTTAATTAAGAATAATTGATTCGTTATTCAGACAAACCCCAAACCGGCGCCAGAGCTGGTATGGTCACACTGGGGTGGCAGAATTTAGACAAAATTTCTGGAATTTAGAAAAGCATTGCACAGAAGTACAATTTTAGGAATTTAGAGAAGCACCGAGCAACAAAATTAAGAGATGACAAAATTTTTTAATTTAGGAAAGCACTGAATCCCAGAATTTAGGAGTGGCAACATTTTAGAACTTAGGGAGGAAATTGGTAGCATAATTTAGGACCTCTAAAGACTGCATCAGGCAGTAAAATATCTAGCATTGGCCCTCGATAAGCCTTAAGTATATGTAGGAATTTATTTATTCAGGACTCAAGTAATCCTTAAGCATGTACAAGAAATAGACGTAAGTATAATAAATAGCTAAAATAACACAATTCAGGCTTAATTGTCTCATTGTGTGATAGAAGCAAGACAAAATTTAGTGGAACAATGTGTTTTTCGTTGCCAATAGTATGATAGCTGAAACTAAAACTGCTGAGCTCTTTGCAGATTAACTTATTGAACTCGCTAATAGTGAAAATTTATCTCCAGAACAAATTTACAATGCTTATGAAACTGTTCTTTTCTAGCAATATGTATTGCCAACTACCATAGCAACCTCTACAAGAAGAGACCTACAGAAAAGTCTCCAACTGGTGTCAAAGATTCCAAAGCCAGACTAACAATTTTAGCATGTACAAATGCTGCAGAAATGCACAAGTGTAAACTTTTCATAATCCTAAAGAAAACGTGATGTCGAGCATTTAAAGGAGGAAAGATTTTCCCGTTATGTATAGTGCAAGTAGAAGAACATTGATAAGACAAGCGTTAATGGATGATTGATTTGAAAATCGTGTCATACCCAAGGCTCGGCAACATTTGAATTCGGTTAGTTTACTTAATGATGCAAAAATTGATCTGATTTTAGTTAATTGTATTCAAGTTTTAGTGAAAGATAATAGATCCGTGTTATTCTTTCCTCCAAACTGTACGTCCATCATTCAGCCAATAGATATCAAAATAGTGTGCGCTCTGAAATGCAAATATAAAGTAGCATTTTTATATTTGCATTTCAGTGAAAACTTATCATAATATAACTTCTATACCAAAAAGAGGGACAAAACACCAGCAGTTACATTTAGAACTTCAGTTGACACTATTAGAAATGCTCTGGACATGGCCAGCCCCTCTGGATAGAATCCAAATTAGTATGCAATTACTGGAGCTCTCCCGCTCTGATTTTACTCTGGTTTACATACAACTCATTTCTGTGAGGGGTATCCGAATCCAAGGATGAATTCTTAGAACAATAAGGCAGATACAACAGTGGGGGAGAGGTGTAAGCAACATCTTCTGAAAGTTGGCTGTGTAATTCCATTCACATTTTAGAAGTTATCAGTAGTGTTTCAAGCGTTTTACATGCGTTTTGATGACTTTTCTCTTATTTGTTTAATTTTTTGGAAATGATGTTTTAAGAAAATTAAATTCTAAAATTTTCCTGTTACCTGAGCTCTCTGGTTAGTTGAGCTGTTACTGTAAATGCAGCTTTTTCAAATCTTTCGAAAAATTTTAATAGTATTTAGGGGCAGTTCTTATTAGCAAATTAAGTTTTTAATATTTGTCAAACCATATCTTAATTTTTAATAAAATGTATATTATCTGAGCTTTTAAACAGTGTTGGTATTTAAGTTTGCTACTGGACTTTGCGTATTACATACCACTAGCGTATATAATATATGTGTATATGTAACATGTGATAGGCAATTAAAAATTTCAGAACTACTGCAGCATTGTTAAATTTTTTATAGCATTTTCATCACAAAGATTCCCTTTATTAGCCACACAGTTTTTCAGAAAAGGGAAAAGTTACTAGGTCGAAGGTTTGGTGAATAGAGTGAGTACTGCATATGATTTTTTGTTATTGAAGGTTACCTCAATTTGACTAAGTACAAAAGCAAACAAGTTAACAGAAAAACTGGAAGGAACTTCTCTTTTCCGTGGTTCTCACTTAAACCTAGCTAAAGTATATTTCCTATCTATAGTGTTAACTATGAACTAACTCAACAATGTGTGTAATGTAAACTGTAAGGCTGGTTAATAGATCAAAGTGCTGCTACTTTTAATCTAATCAAGCAATCAGAGTAACTTCGTGCTTCTTATATTTAATTGCTCAGTTATATAATTCCAATTCGAGTGACTGAAGTAAAACGACAGAAAGCGATTACAAAACCATTAATGAAATAATAAAACTTTAGTGTCCTCTGGTGATTGAATTGAGAAGTCTCAGAAAAGAGAAGTTTGCTCTGGGATTGCAAAGCTGCCTTGCAATGTTGAATCAAGTGTGCAGTTTAGATATTTGATTCCTGTGAACCGATGGGTTGATTGCCTGATAA